TTTTTATTATTAGTTCTTTTTTCCCCTCAATTTATTGCCATCCTTGAACTGTAAAAAAATGTATTTACTTCAGATTAAGTACCTAATCTCATAATTTTGAAAATAAATAAATAAAAATGTTCATCATTATTATCATTTATTTTAAGTAATTTTTTCTTCAGTATAATTCTTTCCAAAGATTTATAATGATCGACCAAAATTAACTAGTTTTTGCGCTTAATTTGTTTGTGATTTCTGGTAACATTTTCTCCTTCATTTTACACATTTGGCATCTCTTGTCTCTCCTTACCTGCAGAGGATGTCGGTAGTTCTTTGTTCTGTGGATCATGAGTTTGCACTAAATCAAAGTTAACAGACAGTAGATTTGGATTTTATTTCTCATTTACCATCACGGGTTTGAATTGTGAAGTGTACAGCACAAATTATATGTGTCTCCCAAATATTTACCCCCTTTGGTTTTTTGAGAGAGAAATAACGGAGAAAGCTGAAGATAGACTTGGGGAGATGGGGACTAAACAGCCTTTTGGGACATATACGCTCTTTCATTCTATCAAATGATGCCTTTGAAAGTATATGTTAAAGGCTTTTGAGCTTTGTTGAAAGATAGAGAATGAGAGTAGGGCAGCTCCTCCCTGATCTTCCTCCTTTGGTCTTTCCTGTGCTGTTTTCTGTTCATTCATATTTCACCACGACTGCAGTGCAAAACAAAGTTGTCGCATTGATTGGCTGTAATATTAAAATGAAACTTTACACTAAATGATAGCAGGAGTCATGGGTGTGTTTTAGGAACCAGTTTTGCTGGGTTTGTGACTGTGTGGGTGTCACTGTCTTAGGCTTGAGGTAGATAGTGTTTATTGAGTCAGTAGTAAAATTGCATTGCAGTGAGATGTTACATCCTGTTTGCATCATTTAAAACAGGGCTCTCATACAGCTCTGTTTCCCATCCCCTCTTTATGTTTTGATTATTTACGTAGTGATGCATCTCCTTTGATTTTTTTCTACATGCTAGCTGTGATTGTAGTCATGTTGTACTGTAGTAGATTATTCATCTATAATTTTACATCTGAGATGTGAATGTGGACATGCACATCAGTTTATGGTATTTTGAGAATTCTTAAAACCTTAATAACCTAATATATGTTCACTGAGTCTAAATATTTTTATGCTTAAAGGCAAAAAAAAAATTTAAATCATAATTTCTTCTTCGTAGACATTTGTGGTCTAGATATTTGAGGCACCCTGCAATTTCCTAGAGCGTTTTTCTGGTTTGGCAGGATGGGGCCTCAAGCGTCTTCTCATTTCACCTAAAATCTTCTACTACTACCTTCTCAGTATGGTATAGGAAGTTCTATGAAGAACCTTCAAAATGGAAATCAGTTCCTGCACGAACTCTAAACATATTGCACTCACAAAAATAAAGCTTGCCAAAGGGGGTTTTCATAGCGATGCCATAGAATCATTTTTGGTTCCTCGACGAACCTTTTGGTGGACAATTAAAAAAAAAAAGAAATTAAAAATTTTTCTTAGTGTGAACATTTAACAAATCTAAAGAGACTTCTTTTTCACTATAAAGAACCTTTTGTGGAAAGACTCCATGGATGATAAAGGTTCTTCATGGAATCATAGATGCCAATAAAGAATTGTTTTATTATTTTTTAGAGTGTGGTACATTGTCACTGGGATATCTGAAGCACCTTCAAAAGGTTTCCTAGCAGTTCTCCGAAGGGTTCCACTAGTGTAAAAGTCAGAGAAATCCCAAAGTGTGTCTAAAAAGTCTTTTTATTTGTATACAGTTAATTATCAATAGATAAAGTCCAGCAGGAAAATGGAAGTAGAGTCGTTTTTGAATGGCTTTTAATGTTGACTTTAGGATAAACCTTTATTTTTGTCAACTGGACTGGATTGGATTTTTTATTTTTCTTGAGATACATTAGCATCTGCAACCTCTTTGGTTAACAATTCCCTTCCTGGTTTTGTCTTTGAAGGTGACATGTGGAGCAGAGCTAAGAGCAGCTGTGTCTCCTCTGGGTTGGGGAGAGAGTGATAAGGAGGAAAGCGTCTCTCCTTACGGCTCTCATTCAGGGATTCTCAAATCCCTGCGGCTTTTCTCCCACACGTCCCAATCTAACAGCCAGAGCCGTGAAACTGCTCAGGACCCTGGGGCACTGGATCTGTGGGCTTGGTTATCCAACCACACTGATACCGAAGGAACCCTCTCGAGGGCCAAACGTCGTCCCTATGTGAAAACTGGCAAGTTTAAGAAGATGTTTGGCTGGGGCGACTTCCATTCGAACATTAAAACGGTCAAGCTAAACCTTCTCATTACTGGGAAAATTGTTGACCATGGCAACGGAACCTTCAGTGTCTATTTCCGCCACAATTCCACCGGCCTGGGCAACGTGTCCGTCAGCCTGGTCCCACCCTCCAAGGCTGTCGATTTTGAGATCACTCAACAGGAAACCATAGATGTACCTAAAGACAATAAGGCCTTCAATTGTCGAGTGGAATATGAGAAGACAGACCGTAGCAAGAGGACGTCCGTTTGCAGTGACTTCCCGAACAGGGTATGTTTCCAGGAACAGACCCAAAGCCATGTGTCTTGGCTTTGCTCCAAGCCCTTCAAGGTCATCTGCATCTACATTGACTTCTTCAGTGCAGACTACAAGCTAGTACAGAAGGTCTGCCCAGACTACAACTACCACAGTGACACTCCGTATACCTCTGTGGGATAGCACAGCCTAGATTGGTAACTGAGGTGTCATCTCGTTGTTACAGCCTCTCTAGCCTGTAGTTTCCTTGTTCTGTTCCACAAAGAGCCAGAAAAATGGAAGATTGAGGAACCACTCTTTTGATTCTATCTTACTTATCCTTTAGGGCTGTCGATGTCAGGAATAGTTCACCCAAAACAAGAAATAGTTTATGTCTGTCATCATTTTCCACAGAAGAAAGTCAATCAAACAACATGAGGGTGAATAAATTACAGAATTTTCATTTTTGGATGAACCCATGCTTAACCCAGGCTAAGACCTGATTTCCTGAAGGCTGATTTACAGTATGTGGGTTCACACCTAGCTTGGACATGATCAACACATCTGTGGTTTCCATAGTGACCCCTGACCCTTTCTCCGTGACTCTTGTGATGTCATCAGTGTGATGTTTTAAAATATCCAAATCATATGTAAGCTGGGATTCAAGAACAGAAAAAAAGTAAAACATCTTGTATTGCAGCCATTTGTGATGCCCTCCTTTTCATGCCAACATATTTTTGTGTTCACAGAAACATTGTCAATAACTAAGATTAATGTTGAAGCCATAATGTGCACCTCAGTTCTTTTGTATTTTGTTTCTGTTATTAAAGAAAAGATTAGATTTTAGTTTCCAGAATGCTCCCTTGTGTATTTTTCTTCCTTCGACGCCAAGACTGTCGGCAGATTTTTGGTGTACAACTTCAGAAATCCTTGCACAGATGCTGCAAACAAAGAAAAATTGTGAAGTCAGACAAAGCTTAAGTCAACTCTACCACATTTGTTACAAAATCTTCTTAAAAGCCTCAGTATCCCTCTGACTACTGGAGGAGAGTCTCATTGCGGAACAGATTTTTCCGCAATTTAACCTCTGTAAATTCAGCCATATGAAAACAAGAGGATGACATTGTTTCACATCAGCAGAAAAAAAAACGGTTTCATTCGCAAAGATCTGCTCATATGCACAAACTCTGATCTGAAAAATGCACACATAATGTCTGTGAGAGTCTGTGCAATCTCATGGCTTGATGAACAGGGCATTTGAGGATTTGCAGTACGCTGGCTTTAATCTCAGTTTAAGTCGTCTCCAGATGTTTGAAGACTAAAAAGAAGAGAAGTTTTATAAAAGGTCATTTAAATGATTTTGGAAGCCACAGACCAAAAAGAATATGGAGTGTTTGCAACATGCTAGTGTCTATTGGAGATAGACCTTAAGGCATGTTAAAGATCGTACAGCTCCACACATGTACTGATATTCTATAAACTGAAACTTCCATCAAAAAATTTCAAGCTAAAACTATTACAACTGGGACTGACTTCTAAAATAATTGTTCGCTTTTTTCTTAAATATGATCACCTGCCATCTGAATGCTGAGGACAAAGATGTCAAACATCACATCTGATTCAGTTCTAGCTAATAAAAAGTTTTAAATAGTTTAATTGCAATAGCATTATGTGATAAATGCTTTTGACTTGAAATATGTGCCAAGAAAATATATATTTCACATTTTGCTTGAATAACACATTAAACATTAACTACTAAAAAAAAAAAAACATTTTAAATGTTTAAGTCAACATGATTTATTTTTATTTTTTGCCTTTTTTATGGGTCATGACAACTGAATTATATGGCCGTTGGAAAAGAGTGGTTGAAATAAGAGGGTTTGCTAACATCAGCCAAAAATTAAGTCTTAACGACAGGAGGAAAAAAAAAAAACCACAATAAGGCCAGGACATCTTTTTTTTTTTCATTTTATTTCCAAAGCAATAAATCAGTTCTTTTGAACCGCAATACATTTTTTTCCGAACACAAAGAACTCTCCTGATCCATAGAGTTCGTTAAACCATGGTAAATAACTTCAACTAAAGTAAAAACTAACTCTGTGTGAAAAAGGGGAAAACAAGTTCTGTAAACACGGTAAACAAATCTTCATATTTACCATTAGTTTAAGTTGGTGCAAAATATCGACATCTTGAGCCGTTTTCGTGTAATACTCATGTGAACTGCATCACATTTCACCAAGTATTCTACAGCACGACCTCAGTTAATACTTACGCCAATTTTAATGATGCCAAACATACAATGCGACATTCTGCCAGCAATATAGGCAACATCACTTTAAAAGTGTCAGTGGAGACTATCTTTGCACTCGATGCATATGCGTGGGTATGCGTTTAGTGAGTGTATACTTGGTTTTTTTGAAACGTCAGACCACAAGTTCACAAGAAGGGCTAATGCAACCCTCCCCCTCAAGAACATGTAACATATAAGGTCCTAAACACCACCATGTTAAAACTACTGCATTATGTGGGAGCTAGTGCAATCCAGACAGGTCTGGATCAGTCGCAGCAGGCACGTAGTTACACGTAGAGACACAAAGGTGCGGAGGGGCAGATCCTTTAAGGCCATTTTTCAAATGACGTCCAGAGTAAACAGCATGGCGAAGTCCATTTCTTCTTGAGCACTGTGGTTTGAACTAGCTCCTCTATCCAGTCTCTGGTAAGGGCGACGGGCTAGTGAAGAGGGAGGGGGAAGTAGGGCTCGGTGCAGTAGTTGCCTCCTCATGCGTTTTGTTCTAAGCAGTCTGTGAGGGCAAAGGTCAGGACTGTTTTAGCCGTTTCCTAGGCAGACCGAATGGGGTACACTGGGCTGAAGCAAGAGCCCGGAAAGCCTCGGCCACTAAGTGAGGATGGGACTGAATCATTGCTTTCCAACCTGCAGTCTCCATTATGTCTGCAGCATGACTGCGAATGAGCAAAAACAAGCCTAAAGGTTACTATCTATAAATGATATAACATTCGTCGCACGCTGATGAAATTAGTAAAAAAATAATCTGGGGTTTTTATTAATTCTGTGAAATCATGCTAATTAAAGGAATGTTCTGGGTTCAAAACAAGTTAAGCTTTATCCACAGCATCTGTGGAATGTTGTCTGTAAAGATAAATATCACATGTACAGTAAAGTAATGGTGCAAACTGATCCAGAGAACATAAATAAAAAAATCGAATATAAAAAAGAATTTCTATAAACACATTTTTATATATATCTTCATGTGACACTGAAGACTGGAGTAATGATGCTGAAAATTCGGCGTTGAATCACAGGAATAAATTACATTTTAAAATATTTAAATAGAAAGCAGTTCTTTTAAATTCTAATAAAATTTCTCAATGTTGTTTTGCTGTGTTTTTGATTAAATAAATGCTGCTTTAGGTGAGCATAAAAACATTTAAAAAAAATCTAAATATCTATCTTTAAAAGCTGCCCATGGCCTTGTGTAAAAGTGATTTTACCACAGTAAAAAGGCTTGACAGTGCTTAGAGTGCATCGAGCCCAGAACATTCCTTTAAAACGTGATCATACAACAAGAATGGCACCATCTTATGTTTTGATGGAAAGGAATTCAAGAAAAAACAAAATCTCTCCACAAGCTGTGCCATGAATCATTTTGTTTTACGGATATCTTAAGTCACATGATTACTATGCAAACAGGAGCTTCCTGCTAAATACAGATGTGTTTAGTGCTTTTTATTTGCAGAGGACTCTGGGAGATGGTAACATGTTGGCACACATACTTGCTATTCCAGTTCTTCCCATCTTTACAGCCCAGCTGTCTAAGAACACTGCATCTGAGGAAAGAGACCAGAGCAGAATTCACACAGAGCTCCCAGAATGCACTGCAGCCACCGCTGTCACAAATTAGATATTTAGCAGCCAAATTATTCCAATTAATATAATTGTCTGCATTGCTTTTAAGCAGTCATTTATGCAAAGTGACCAAAAAATTGCACATGATTTTCCCTTCAACCTCAATATTGAGATTAAATATTAATATTAATAGAGATCAATATTTTTATAATATAGATATTATATTTCTGCTCTAAATTCTTCCATCATGTATCCTTTCAAAACAGCCCAATTAAACCTGCGAGTCATTAAATTTGCAAAAATGTACAATGTTTACAATTATGTTTAAATGTTCATGTTCAAAGAACTGTAAAGTATATAAAGGATTTTTTTTAATGAGTATGAACTGAGTGTGTGTTCTTGCCTATTAATGAAGTCTATGGCTTGTGCTTTAAGCTGCTCTGCTCTGTGCAGGTCAGCCAGAATGAGGATGTCAGCCACATTCTCTACAGATAAACTGTTACAGAGAGCCTCCTCACATAAAACCTTCAATCTTTCCAGAGCATACTAAAAAGAAAGAAGAAAACAGACTGCAGGTCAATCACAGCAGCACGAACACAAACAAAAAGCGCTCTTCCTTCAGAGCAAGAGTGTATTACCTTGTCTGCAGCAGCTAACAGGTTGTCGGCCATTTTCTCTAGGTTAGGAGCTTTACCAGTGTAAATAAATACCATCATTTCCCTAAAAACATCCGGTTCCACATCGCTGATGTCCACACGGTTCTGCAATGGGGTTGAAAAAAAAACCCATTTCAAAATCTAATGAATTGAAAATCTAATTTAGAATTAAATTGAATAAAATATTTTAAAAAATATATGTATTAGTTGCTGCTTAAATATGGCAAGTTTTATAAAATTTTAGTTTTACAGTGTGTGTA